TGGACCCTGGTTCTGAAATTCGGCTAAGCCTGGTAAATGGAAGAAATGTAGTGAGACTTCAGCTGTCTGGGGCCTTGAGGGAGATTCTACTCTGGGTAAGCGGGTCTGCCTGATAACGGAACATGTGTCCGTGGCTGACGGGGATCTGCGGATTGGATTGCCTCTTGGCTTCATCAGTGTCTACGTCTGTCTCTGTTGGTGACATTGCAGGGCTGTTCTTAGGAACGTTAGTTTTTAGACTGGGCTATAATGCAGGGTTGCCTTGGCCCCTTTTAGAACTTTCTGGTCTCTTTGGAAACTGTCTTAGGCTGCTCTGCTTTGGGGATTCTTAAGTTGGCTTTTTATAGCTTTTTGATCTCCTCTCATGATTGTCAGTTTTTATTTCTTGCTGGCAGTTTGCGGGGTGGGGGGCAGCAGCATCCTCTCTGTGTCCTTGGGAACCAGAACACAAACCTTGTTGAATTTGCATAAATGGAGAATCAGTCGGCCTGGTGGAGGGAAGGCTTGAGGGTCCTGTGAGGGTGCCTCTAGCACTTGAAGGGCATGAACAGTGGGCTGTGTTTTGATGGATGGTTTGGAGGCCTTTTTCTGGCTTACTCCCCAGAGCGTTCCTCTAGCATCCTCTGCCTCTGTTTCTCTGCCCTGCATTGGGTGGTAGGGGGAGAGGGTGTTTGATGAGGAACTGTTGACCAGGAGGAACCCCAGGTGTGGGTGTTTACCCCTGTGTAGCTGTGTCCTCTGGGCAACTGGACACCTAAGCGTGAAAGACCCTGTAGACAGGGGCTTGCGGGCCAGAGAGAATTTTGTGGGAAACGAGTAAAGGAGAAGGAAAACGAGTGATCACTGAAACATTTCTGCCCAACTAGACTCTTAAACACTTGTAGTGGAGTCTTTCAAACATACTGAAAAGGAATAATAAAATTGAATGATCACTTCGGTTCCCAGAACTCTGTTTTAAAAATTATATTATCTATTACTATTTTTATATCATTATAACTGTATGAACCATAGTTAATCATACTATATTATACTATTACTAATACATTAGAATATTCTAACTATGGCAAATAATACTGTGTTGTGTATTTGAAAGTTGCTGAGAGAATAGATCCTCCAAGTCCCCATCACAAAAAAGATTTTGTAACCATGTATGTTGACGGGTGTTAACTAGACTTACTGCGGTGATCATTTCCACAATACATACGCATATCAAATTGTTCTGTTGTACACCTGGAACTAATACAATGTTTTTGTCAGTTATATCTCCATGAAAAAGATCTTGGGGGAAAGAGGGGTGGGAAGGGATAAATTTGGGAGTTTTGAGATTTGCAGAGGTTAACCACGATATGTAAAATAATAGATTTTAAAAACCCACATTTCTTCTGTATAGCACAGGGAACTATATTCAACATCTTATAATAACCTTTAATGAAAAAGAATATGAAAATGAATATATGTATATATATATATATGTGCATGACTGGGACATTATGTTGAACACCAGAAATTGACACGTTGCAACTGACTATACTTAATCTTACTACCATATTGCCTTATTTGCTTCAGATTTTTAAAATAATAAAATATTACCAAATAGCATTACAAGTCTGCAGTATACCCCTCTCTGATCTTATCCTCTCCCTTCTGTCCTGGACTTAGGGTTGTTGCTTCCAATGCAAATTTCAATTTTTTCTGTATATATTGTTGCCCCCTTCAATACTAGGTAGCATTCTTTTGCATAGGAAACTTCATCTAAGTGGCACAACGCTATACTTATTCTTTCATAGCTTCTGTATCTTCTATAACTTGCATAGACCTTCTGTAACTTTTCCCCCACTATTATATTTGTGAGATTTATCCATCTTGGCTCTGGTTCATTCATTTTTCACTGCTGCTCAGCAAAGGTTGGCAAACGATGGCCCCTGGGCCAAATTGGCCCATGACCCGTTTTTAAAGTTACTTACTTTAAACGTATTTACTGCCTGTACATCAGATTTTATTGGAACACAGCCCTGCCCTTCGTTTATACATTTTCTATGGCTGCTTTGCACTGCAGTGGCAAAGTTGAGTAGCTAAGACAGAGATCAAGACCTGAAGGTGAGCAAAGCCTAGAATATTTACTATCTGGCCCTCTACAGAAAAGTTAGCCTCCCTTGCTGTCGAGTTCTGATGTAACAATGTGGCATGTGATATCTCTCCTCCTGGGGGTGAACATTTGGGTCAATTCTAATATTTTTATTTTCCGAACAGAGCTTCAGGAAACGTTTTTGTTTGTTCAGGATTCTCCCTGGAGTGTGTAGCTGGAAGTAAAATCACTGGGCCGTGGGGCATGTGCACCTTAACGTCACCAGGTATTACTAAATTAGTCTCTAAGGTAGATCTACCAGTTTGCACTCCCACTGGTGGTCTGTGAGACTTCCTCTCCCTCCCCATCCTGGCCAGCAACCTGGCATTTTAAGACCTGAAGTTGTGCAAGTCTGATGTGCTTAAAGTGCTGCTTTATTACTGGCGACGGTCAGCATTTTTTCACGTTGTTATTGACCGTTTGCAGTTGCTCTGATAGAATTGCCTGGCCGTATCCTTTGCCCACTTTCCTGTTGAGTTGTTTGTCTTCTTCCTTTTGAGTTGTGAGAGTTCCTTCTATATCTGGTACTAGTTCTTTGCATTATATGCATTCAAACCAAGTATACGCACTCATTCTGTGCACTGAAAATGGTTTTCAGTCCGACTGGATTGTTTCTCAGTAGAGCTGCATATTAAGGTGTAGTCGGTTCATCTTGAAGATGTGTGTGATGTGGATGCACACATACGTACATGTATACACATATATATGGTGCGTGTATGCACACGCACACACGCACACATGCACTTATGACTATGACTTCTTTTCCCTGGGAAAGTCTTTGAGGTTGAAAGGGTGCAAGGCTGAACAGAAGTAGATGCCAGCGGTGTCTGCAAGCCTTCCTTGCTGGGGCAGTTTGGGCGGAGGGAATGTTCACATGAGTTTGCAACAGCCTCATCTCAGAGCAATTCCAGTGCCTTTCCGAGGCTGTCCCGTTGAGTGAGCTGATTGTCACTGGCACTTTGGCTGCGTAGACGTGACCCACAGGTCCCCAGGGAAGCCAGAGGACACCATGGTGGGATGCTGACAGGTTGGGAGGGCTCTTTTGGACAGAAACCAGATGTGACTTGTGGTTTTGGGTTTCCCCATTTTGGTTTTGGCTGAAGTCAGACCTTGGTTTCAGCCTGATCAAGTGGAACCGTTCTTTGGCCCACAGCGATTTAAATAATTGAAACTTCCATTTTGGGGCCAGACTACTTTTGCTGGCCTTTACACCATTCCATCATCTTCGAAACTAACAGGGCTGGCTTTCCCATCCCTCCTCTGATCTTTCAAATCAAACTTTCTGAGTTGAATAGTTAAAAAATTAAATCTGCAGTCCTTCGAGGTTACTGGGCCCTGTGAAGTTTGCAGTCTGCAGCTGTGATCTCTGTGCATCTTGACAATGGTTCTGTGAAGCACACAAGGAAGATAGATTACAGCTGCCATCTTGCTGGTGAGGACCACCCAGAGACATAGGTGCTGACCTCTCCCTGATCCAATAGCAGCCTTCAGGGCTGGGCCTGGCATCCTGGTCTGGTGCTCTTTGTACCATGTATAATGCAGGTGCCGTCTCAGTTCATATCCCGAGATCCCATGACAACCCCTCTTCAGTATCACCACATTACTCTTTCAGGGAGGCCCACACTCTCAGGGACCCAAGCAGACATAACTCGGGGAGCACATCTAACATTTCCTGAGCCTGTGCTTTTTGTCAGACTCTGCTCTGTACGTTTTCTCTCATATCATATCATTTGATGCTCAAATTAACACTGTAAGCAGCAGGGCCAGCTTCACGGACCCATGACCAGCACAGGATCTGTGCTTACCTTAGAAGCACACCACACTTGGTTTTATGCCAAGCACTTATCTCCTTGAATTTTTAAATAATTTCTGAACAGTTGACCTCACTTTTCAGTTTGCCCTGGGCCCCACAAATCATGTAGCCAGTTCTGTACACAGATAAAGGAACCAAGGCTCAGAGAGGTAGAGTAAGTGGCCCAAGATCACACAGCCAATCAGTGGCGGTACTGGAACTTCAGTGATTTCTACTTTGCTGCTTCATTTATTGAAAATAGAGCCCTGGACCTTGCTTGAATTGCACTGCAAGGAGTTGGGAAGCAAGGTAAATTGCACCATAGAAATGGTGATTTTCTGTAGAGATTTGCTTCTATGTTGTTAAGTAGTTTTGTGTTGACCTCATGCTGGCCGGTTGCCACCTTCTTCCTTAAGGGAAGAGACCATTTCTGTCATTTTTTTAAGGTTCCTGAAAGTGCCTGGAACAGGCAGCCTCTCAGGCTGACCCAGTAGGTTAATGGGCTTCTTTGATTGCAAAATAGGGATGTAAACCACTGAGCTCCCCTTGGTGAGCCGTAAAGATACATGAGGACCTACGAGGCTGTTCCCTAGTTAGGGAACCAGAAGAATCCGACGTAGCTCATGGATTTGGTCATGCCACCACTCCCTCAGTGGCAGAGGTTCGTGGATCCCCAGCTCACCTCCTGCTCTGGTTTTATTCTTCTTCGTGTGTATGTCTCTCATGGTACCAACAATTCCACTCTTGAGTCTCCTGGGAGATTCAGGTTTTGCCCACCTGGCCTGCCTGGAGGTGGACCAGTAGGGGTGAGGCATGGCCCTGTGGCCATGTTGGTAGGGTTACAGGGCACCAGCCTTGCGACTTGGGAGAAGGAACTTTTAGAGCGGGGCTGAGTAAGTCCTGTCTGATCCAGGTCATTCATTGCCTGGCCAGTCTCCCAGGATGAGCTTGGAGTCACCCGTCCTAGAAGATGAGATCACTGCTTCCTAGGCAGGACATACCCCTGGCTGGAGAAGGTTCTGGCGGGATCCCGAGGGGGACTCGCTCACCTCCCTGGTGATCTGCTCTGTTTTCCCTTCACAGCAGCAAACCCTCTGCTTTGCTCCACCGCCCGCTACCACTGCAAGAACGGCCTCTGCATTGACAAGAGCTTCATCTGCGATGGGCAGAACAACTGTCAGGACAACAGCGACGAGGAAAGCTGTGAAAGTTCTCAAGGTAGGAGCCCCCAAGCTCTAAGAAAGTAACTAACAACCCGCGCCACCGAAACACGGAAGAGAACAGCAGCCATGCCGGTTTCTGCCCTTTCCCTTGCAGCCCTCATACACGTGGCTTTAACCATCACACACCTACCATTTTGTGTTTTGTATTTCTCATGCATTAAATGTCAAATATACATTTTCTCTTCAAAACTGTCATTTGCCCAACTGCATTCTACACTGTCATGGTGCTCTCCAGCGATCTTCTAAAGTGTTGCATTGTTGGGGGCCACCTAGGTTGTTTCTTCCCATTGAATGACTTCTTCAGGGATGAATTCCGCAGAGTGGGACACCTGTTCCATGCGTGACTACACCTCGCCGTATAGCTGTTGGAAGACTGTTTCTTTTCACTTTGCGCTGCTGCTGGCATCGTCTGCGCGTGTCAGATGTACAGGAAGAGCCCAGCCAGTCCCTGCTGTTCCCTTCTTCCCATTTTTGCTAAGTTAGTAGTCACGGAATTATAGCTCCCCAAATGCTTTCGTTTGCGATTCTCTGATGACGAGCAGAGTTAGCGTTTTCCCCTGGGTGTTTGTTGGCACCTCTCTTTCCTCTTGTGTGGATTGCCTCCTCCCCTCAGCGCTCTCAGCCTTGGTGCTGTGGGGTGGGGGCTGAAGGATGCATTTGAGGGAGGGGAAGATGATCTTTTTAGGGAACTCAGAAGGACACGGGGGTTAAAACTGGGTACATTTCTTTACTTGTTGACTCTTTTCCAGTAAATATACATGTATTTATTCAGTGATTAGAAGAAAAATACAAAGATTTTAAAGTGCATCTCAATGTTAAGGCATCCTAAAAAGTATGCATTTGTAATGTTGTCAACTGGTACCATCCATATGCAATATTTACTTTTCTCACTTAATATTTCGTTGCTGTGATCCACCCACATTATTGAGTGTTGGTAGAGTTCGTTTGCTTTGACCATTATTCAGTATTCCACTGTACGACTGTACCACAATTTATAGATTGAATGATACTGTAAAAGAGAAAAGCAGGAGAAAGATGGTTCTCTGGTTAATTCATAGGCTGGGAAGTAGGACTGATGGGATAATCTTCCATGAAGTTAGATGCAGGTTCCTTTCAAGGTTCTGGCTTTTATTTTGTTCGGTGCTTATTATGTTATTAAAAGCGAATGAATGAACAAATGGGCCATGCGTAGACCGCTGGTGAGAGTGGGCCACAATTAAAGATTATGATCAACCCAAATCCATGTGCCTGAGGTCCACAGACAAGAAAAGACAAAATGTGTTTCAGCATGAACTTTGCCAAAATGTGTACAGAGAGCAGCTCTGGGAGGTGAGTCTTGGGTAGAGTCAGCCTCTGTCCTTGCCTGGAAAGTCCCCTCCTTGTGCCTTGTCCTCACCAGTGGTTCTCAAAGTTTAATCCCCAAACCAGCAGCATCAGCATCACATGGGAACTCTCTGGAAATGCAAAGCTCAGGCTGCACCCAGACCCACTGAATCAACCCTGAAGGTGGGTCTAGAAATCTGTGTTTTAACAAACCCTCCAGGTGAATTGAGTGCATGTGAAAATCTGCAAATCACTGTCACCCAGTCCCTTTACAGAGGTTTCTAATCTTGGCCATTTGCCTGGGGCTGTCTAAACTTCTGATTGATAAGCAAGGGGTTTCTAGCCTCGATATAAAGTTGATTTCTTATAAACCAAAGCACATGGCAGGACGCCTCCTCTGCCATAAGCCATTGGCAGTGATAAGAGAAAAACAGCCACAAAGTCAAGTAAATATTAGCTTAGATGGGAGGGATGGAGAAAAATTTCCTGTAAATATTATTTCTTATATAGTTTCTTATATGTTTACATAACCTAGACTAATGGTGCCCTGAGATGTTCAGGAAAAGGACTTTCAAGTCTGAAACCAGGAAGTTAGGGAATCTGTCCTGATGGTTTTGATAGCACCCCCCTACCCCCCGCATGCCTATCCCAACGTTTGGCTGAAGCAGATTTTTGCGTGTCTTTAAGAAGAACTGTCCCTCTGCAGGCTGGTTGAAGTTAGTATTTCTCAGCCCAGCTCCTTTTTCTCTGTGTATATCGTGCTCTCATATTACAAACATGAGGTGTAGGAAGAGTTGGTGATGGACACCTACACACGTTGCCCAGCTCTTGGCACAGTCTTACTTGGAGCAACCTTCCTTAGAATCTCAGCTTTGTGCCTTCCATATGCAAATGACCTCCTTTTAGAAATAAGCTCTGTTTGCACATTCGCTCAGAAAACTAATCCCATCAGTGCGTGGGTAACAGCTGTCGGTTACCGTCAGTATGACAGCCCCTGAGCAAGGATGCCCAACGTGGAAAGGCATCTCCATTAGCTGCCCAAGAACAGGGAGCATGTCTTTTTTCCCCCTTGAATCCCGTAGATCCTACCTGGGGGCACAGTGCCTAGTAGCCTAGTAGATTCAGTAAGTGCTGAAGACTAGAAAAGATTTCCTTGTAAGGTACTGTTATTAAGCTGTGTTTAATTTGTACCTTATGCAGTATTATACTGTATTATGTGCTTACGTTATGTGGGTTCATGTATCCATGATCTATTAAAATAATCATAAGTGGTGTTATTATTATTGTTTAAATAGGGCAGATGATTCTGTCATTCCCTCGGTGAGCCTGAGATGGGAATCTGGACCGCCGTCTTCTTGGCCGGTCTGCAGTTCTGTACCTCTCTTAATGATGTCAACGTCTTTTTGCTCCGAGTGTGAGTCTAGTATTGTTGAGTATGCTTTTCTCTATCCTGTAGCTTCTAAAGTGCAGACCGATGGCTAATTTTGGTGCTTAAAGGAGCCCTGGTGTGCCAGTGCTGGGGGAGAACATGACTTGTACTGGTCTTTTGAGAGACCATGGTGTCTTCCTGAGGAATTTCAGAGGCATCTTGACTAGACAGCATATCGCCTTATACCACATAGAGTTTGACCTACTGTCATCTTAATAATAGCGAACATTTATTGAGCCCCACCACTCCCTGAATACCGTGCTGAGCAGCATCTGTGCATGAGCTCATTTGGTCAAAATACATCCTATCTGCTTCTGCTGGCCTTCCAGCCCTTGAAAAATGCATCTTTGCTTTCAACTGATGTGGGAAAAGGAAATTATATTTTATAATGTTTCTTTTGTTGGGGTGGAGAAAACTGGCCCCAAGGCAGGAAATGGGGTGCTTGAAATACTTTTCTTCTCATTGGATGAGGGTATGAAAAAGGGGTGTCTGCACTGAGAGACCCCGGCTTTATGGATGCCTCTCCCACCTAGTCCCCTATTCAGTTCCCTACCTTACCCTTGGCCTTGAAAAGCAACAACAAACTCCGCCTGGACTTGGAGGCAGGAGCAGGACCACAGAAGTTCAGCCGTTACCATACCTTTCGATTCCAGATGGGGTGTCTTAGAGACCAAAGAACACTACGGTGGCATCGAATTTTAACTGGGGCTTTGTTGATTGGAAGCCTGACCTGTTACCAGATAATTCCACGAGCAGTGAATTCGGAGCCAGCTTTGCATGTGGCTTTCTGTTGCTCAGGAAACTTCCCTGGGAGGGCGCATCTGAGGGGTGGCAGGTGCTGCCCGGCCAGTGTTGGGTATAGCCAGCACTCAGGGTGGCCTTCAGTATGTTGGATTCAGTCCTAATTGAACAGATAGATTCTTTCCAGCTTTGGCTAACTGAGTGTGGCAGGCAGCCTTCAAGAGTCCCCAGCTCCTGGGGTTCATGCCCTGGTATAATCTCATTCCTTTGCCTGTGAACTAAACCCTGTGACTCGTTTTTGCCCCCCCCAATTGTGGTGAACTATACATAACATAAATTTTCACCATCTTCACTATTTTTATGTATATGATTCAATGGTGTTAAATGCATTCACCTCGTTGTGCAATCAATCTCCAGAACGTTTTCATCTTGCAAAACTAAAGCTCTGCACCCATTAAACAATCCCCCATCCCCACTCCTCCTCCCAACCTCTGGCAGCAGCCGTTCCACTTTGTTTCTATGAATTAGACTATTCTAGATGCCTCACGTAAGTGGAATCACACGGTATTTGTGTTTTGGGAACTGGCTCATCCATGTCGTAGCTTGTGTCAGAATTTCCTTCCTTTTTCTTTAAGGTTGAATAATACTCCATCGTACATCCGTGGCACATGTAGTTTACCTGTTCATCGGTTGGTAGACACTTGAGTTGTTTCCACGTTTTGGCTGTTGTGAGCAATGCTGCTGGGAACCTCGGTGTACAAACCATGGCTCGCTTTTAACAAAGAAAACAGCAGCAGAAGGGTTGGGATGTCAGTTCCAAGGTGAGATCACAAAGAACTCCGCACCTGCTTGCTTATTCTCTCCTGCCCACTCGGATGGCAGCCGGCGGCCCACGTGGCGAGGAACTGGGACTGCCGGTAGCCACATGAGTGAGCTCGTAAGTGGCCTCTCCCTCAGTCCAGCCTTGAGCTATCTGCCGCCCCCCGTAGACACCTCGATTGTGCTTGGAAGAGGCATGAGCCAGAGCTGAACCACTCCTGGATTTCTGACCCGCAGAAGCTGTGAGATAATCAGTGTTTGGTTTTTTTTTAAGTCTGTAGGTTTTGGAGGAATTCATTATGCAATAATGGAGAACTAGTACCATGACTGCCTGTGACGTGGGCCCCAGTTCTGATTGTCCTAGTCACAGAGAGCGTATGCAGACTCAGGGGATGCTGAGGGGTCAAACCTTTGGAAGGAGATCAAACAGGGTGTTTATCAGAGTCGCCATCACATTAAGCACTAGCTAAATGTCAGGAACACTTCCAAGCATTTTACTTACATTTCCCTGCTCAGTCCTCCCAAAATCCCCGTGAGGGGAGGATCCTTTCACAGAAAATGACCCCCATTTTCTAGATGAAGGACCCAAGGAACAGAGAGGTTGCATCGTTGTGCCATGTCCACACAGTGAGTAAGCCATGAAGCCCGGATGGGCACTCAGTCCTCCGACATACAAGCTAATG